AAAAAATCTCTACAAAAGACCAATACACTACAAAAACTGAAACGTATTGACATGTTGGTTATAAACATAAAGAAGGTTTCAAATGTATTCATTATTGTATGAACATGTTTTAATTGGGGGGTGGACGTCACATCCTCTAGGGTGGTCCGGGGGTATGCCCCCCCGGAAAGATTTTAACATTTTAAAGTAAAATGCTTCAATCTGGTGCACTTTGAGCAGAATTACTAGAGACTAGATCTAGGGGGTATAACTCTAAAACACCCATATGAAAAAGATCGGTTTACATTTTAATAACCAAATAAGTATGTGAACATAACCAACAACCTACCATAGCCAATAACAAATAAATGTAACGTATTTTATTTTTGTTGTTCATTCATATCTTATTTTACTTAGTTAACATTTATTTATTCATGCATTTTTTTCAATATCTCCAGTTTTAAACGATATTTTTGGTTACTGTCCTATAGTATACATTGGAATGATTTCAAACCTGTTGTTATTTATCCTAATAATTATAAAGGTGTGCCTTGGAAATATTTGTTTACATAAATTGTGACCAAACCGTTTGAGACCCACTGAGATAACTTAGGCTAAAGTGAACTATCTAAACACTCAGAGTCCTTTACCTCACTGAGCTGTAGTTAACAGCCTCAATCCAACAACAATCCGCGGTACCGATGCGCGCCCTCTCTCTCTCTCTCTCTCGCTCGCTCGGAGGCTCGCTCGCACTTTGGCTGTGAGCTGCGGGCGCCTGATAAGTCAACATCCCCCACTTTCATCACTTACAGCGCCCATCGTACAGGGCAAATGCAAAATGTGGCCGCCCGGCCCAGGTTGCAAAGGGTGTTTACTTTATTCAATTATTAATGTAAATGTATTATATCAAGGGCAGAAAATGGGGCAGAATACAAATTTAAAAAGAAAAACATTTAAAAAAAAAAAGAATTCTCCCAGCGCAGCGCCCCTCCAGATCTGGCGCCCTAGGCGACCGCCTAGTTTGCCAGTGCCAAGGCCCGGCCCTGCGCACATGACCAATGAGGGCACGACATAAGTTTGTGCACAGATGGAAGGCTGACAGGCAGGTAGGCCATCCAGTTATTTTAGCCGGGCCAGCTAAAATGATTGGTCGTGCTTTTTACAGTACTACGGCTTCCACAGATGACATTTTTTTAAGGATTTTTTGTCTAAGCACTTAAGATATTCATTGCTATCGGGATGTTAAGAGCATTCCATGGAATATAACAAAAAGTGTATCTCCAGCCGGTTTCTCAAGCTTTAAAGGGCCCATGTCATGGCCATTTCCACTGATCATAATTCCATTGTTGAGGTATACTAAAATAGATTTATACTGTGCAATTTTCCAAACTCACATTGGTTTCGCATACAGCATCTCTGTAAAGTATGTGTATTCAGCAGTATTCACTCTCTCCACTAAACGGCTCGTTGGAGCTCTTGCCCCCCCCTCCCTGTGAGCCTAGTGTGCTCCGATTGGTCAGCTCGGCCACTCTGTTCTGATTAGTCAACCACCAGAGAGGCTCCGCCCATGTCTAACTGCTTTTTTCGGCTCGCTCTCAGCGGAACAACAGTCTTATAATGGCCTCGGTACAGCCGTATATTTTATACGCTAACTAACCGAACTGTACCTACAACTGTTGTTATAGAAGAGTAAGTTATTTTTACCTGTAATAAACTACTACTGTTTGATGAGAAATCAAATCATGGTTTGCTATATATGAATGATATGTTATAGGAGCAAATAATTCAGGGAAGAAAGGATAGGCCTACTAAGTATTTCCATCAAACTTTATTTTTAGAAATGTACAAAATGAACATGCGTAAATATACATATATACACTGTATATCATCCATTCCTCCCCTTATAGGCGTTTTCGGCATCTTGCCTATCGCAGCTTTGTAAGCGGCTGCCGGGGCTTTTTAGGACGAGGCATCAGAGTGGGTCATCCCGTGTGTGTGTTGTCCGCCAGATACGCCAGGAGTTTCCTGATCTGGCTGGACGAAATCAAATGCAAATCACAAAATATTAGAGAAACTTAGTTGTTTTAGATTCGTTAGTAGTAGTTGTGGTAGGAGTGTGTATCTATCTAATCTATCTATCTAATCAACACAGTTTGTTTTCCCGAGCAAACTAATGTCTAGCTCCGTTTTTTAGCTCGGTAGCATACACGCTAGGAGCGCCAGCTATAATGTAATTACGTTTCGCGACTGACCGTACGGTAAATCACCCAGAGTATACTGTCTATGAGTATTTCGTGTGTGAATGCAGACATTCTCCTGCTATGAGATACATGTATGTAAGGCCATCTGCTGATATTAGAGTTGATATATGGAAACGCTAGCAACTTAGTTAGCACAGTTAGCACTGTGTCAATGGCTTAGCAGTCCGACACACGTTTACACATTTAAACAGTCGTGGTAGATACCTTGTTTGGGAGACATTCCTAACGAAATGAAGTGCCAATCACAAAATATTATTGAAACTTAGTTGTTTGATGTTCGTCAGTTTGCCAGCTGGATTACAATGCTAATCTACGTTTGCTAGTTGTTCAGTGTAATATGCAACACAGTCTCACGGCATTTCGTGTTATAGTCACGAAATTAATCTATTGATTCGTGTTCACCAACACGATTTCGCCATTTTTTTCGTGTCACACAGAACGATTTTAAAAGCAATGTAAATAATAACAAATTAGAAGGAAAAAGACATTAAAAAAAATACAGATTTAAGTATTCTGACACAGAACGATTTTAGAAGCAATGTATTTATATTGGTAGTATGTTTCGTGCCTGCACCAAATAATAACAAATTAGAAGGAAAAAAAGATGACATAAAATACAGATTTCAGTATTCTGAGGCTCTGAGCCATTTCTTTTCCTCACTGACGGCAAAAAAACTCAGACATTATACAATTTAAAATAAAAGGGATAGGGTTAGGCTTAGGGTAAGATATTGAGTAAGAACATGTTTTTATGAACCACACAGCTTCTGGTCTTCCAAGACCCGACCGGACAAAAAGACGTGTTGCAGGCACGAAACATACTACCAATAGAAATACATTGCATTTAAAATCGTTCTGTGTGACACGAAAAAAAGGTGAAAATCGTGTTGGTGAACACGAATCAATAGATTAAATTAATTTCGTGACTAATAACACGAAATGCCGTGAGACTGGGTTGTAATATGCTATACTATACTATGAACAACAGATAGTGGTTCATATTAGGCTATCAAGAACATGTTTACAATTGCAATCTTATATAGTCTGCTACATTCATTGTAGCTGGCATAAAAACAATGTTTTCCCGAGCAAACTCATGTCTAGCTCTTAGTAGCCTTGTTGTTTAGCTCGGTAGCATACACGCTAGGAACGCCAGCTATAATGTAATTACGTTTCGCGACTGACCGTACGGTAAATCACCCAGAGTATACTGTCTATGAGTATTTCGTGTGTGAATGCAGACATTCTCCTGCTATGAGATACATGTATGTAAGGCCATCTGCTGATATTGGAGTTGATATATGGAAACGCTAGCAACTTAGTTAGCAGTTAGCACTGTGTCAATGGCTTAGCAGTCCGAAACACGTTTACACATTTAAACAGTCGTGGTAGATACCTTGTTTGATAAATACACAAATAACAATGCAAACTTACAGGTTGTGTATCCGAATCTTCCCCTGCTCCAAACGGTCCAAACAAACTAGGAATAGCATCGTCCTTCAGTTTCAAATGCTGTGCCTCAAACTGGGCAATGTTTTGGAAGCTTTCCTCTGTGAAATGCCACGCACACAGTAACGTTCTTCGAACCGAAAGGAACAGTGTTAAACAGACATTTCAACCACTGACTTCGTCGTGGTTCTTCCGTCGGTAGGACAAACAGCTCAGATTTCTCCTCACATTTCAGGAAACAGGTCCTTGGCATTGGCATGACTGGATCGATTGTGAACTGAACCAGAGCCTCCAACAGTAAATGTTAGGCTGGCAGAGGGTGCGGCCAGCGCCGCTGGGTGTGGCCATAGCTCTTCCGGATTGGTCCATTTTGTTCCGGGTACCGCATGACATCATGCCGTACCCGGAACTAAATGGAAGACTCAAATGGGCAGTGACGTATCTCCAACGAGGCGTTTTGGGGAGGTATTTTTTGTGTTAGAGTTTTACTCGCTACAGGGTGTACTTTGAGGGTTTTGACTCTGCACACCGTTTACATGCATAAAAACCTTCATAACACACAAGGGGATGGGTAATAACCGGAAAAGCATGACATGGGCCCTTTAATGTGCTGATGTGCTCTTTATTGTGAGGAGGACTGAGATTTACAACACCCCACAAACACAACACATGGTTCCTATAGTCGGATTTATCCATATAAATCATCTAAAGGTACTATCTCAGGCTTTACTGCCAAATAACAATAATTATATCAATTATAATTATATCAATTTGAATGGTGTTGAAAAATGTATCGTATTGGAAACATTTTATGACTCAGAAATGAACATCAGTAGCTTTGTAATGCTGTGTGCTGGCTGTGAACTTTAACTGTTAAATACACTATTGTGTTTTGTTTGTCATTTATATGCTCATTTTATTTTTTAAATCTTAATCATCAGAGTGAAACTAACTAAATAAATACTTGCTGATGTAGAAGGACTTTAGTTTTTATTGCTGACATACAATCTGGTTAAAGTGGATGAGATGCTTCCACTAGAGGGCATACATGTAAGGCAAGGCAGGCAAGGCAAGGCAAGGCAGGCAAGGCAAGTTTATTTATACAGCACCTTTCAACACAAGGCAATTCAAAGTGCTTTACAAAAATGGAAGACATTAAGAAAATGGCAATGTACTTCCCTACTCATTGGAGTCCCCTTCTCCACCATCTAATGTTATCTAATGTTATTTTGGATAGCCACCAACACAAATCAGTGCCTCCATGTCACATGAAACCATGTCAAGCAAATCAATCACACCAACCAGCATTAGTTTGTTTTAACACCTATTTATTACCACCATAATGAGACATTTGGAAAATACAAAGATCAGCTTATTTATATTTTTGAAAATCTCCAGGAATAAGAAAAATATAAAAGAAAACAAATATGAGGTTATATTGTGTATCACAAATTTTGAGAAAGGGACAGATTATATGTTCAGATCTACAGAGACAAAGACCATAACCATGCAGAGTGAAATGTTCACTATAATGTCAATTCATACTGCGAGTGTGAAGCTGTGTGGAGAGAGATGGAGAGAATGTGAGACTGATTTAGAGAGCGTTGAGGAGAGGAGACGGGGGGCAGCGCCCCCCTGTGGCTGCCATCAGAATCGTTGCATTGGAGAACAGAGGAGCCCTTACTGATATTATTACGCAAATCAGATCAGGGTAAAAAAACAACTGAAAACCATGTGGAATACATTTGTTTTTCCCCCCCATAATTTGATGATTTTGGAAGTGGTACGAAAAGAGATGCTTATCCATGATTTAAATGCGTAAAAAAAATAGACACCATATCCACAACGATAATCAATATTCTTAAGCAACCAAAATATTTCTGTTTGTTGAGCACAAGAGGTTTACAGATCAGAGCTACACATACACACAAACACATGGTGAGGGGGGGGCGCTAGAAAAGGTACAGCTGCAGAGCGAGGGGGCGCTGGGGTGTGGAGGGACGGACTGGGCAGGGGAACAGGTGTTATGGGGGGCAGGTGGGCCTCAGGGCTAGCTTTAATAGCACCCTGCTGTGGAAGTTGCAGCTCCCCTTAAGCAGACTAGCCCCTCGGCCCCACCCCTCTGCATCGGCTCTGTTTGCCACACTAACCACACCCCCTGGCCCCCACTCTGGAAGAATCCAGTGGAGCTGAAGGGTGGGCTCCCCAAAGTCAGTGTATGTGTGCACATGTGCGTCTGATCTGACAAACCTTTAACATGCACTAAAAAGGTACCCTGAAAACATTTGGTGAAGACAAAAAAAGAGACCAGACTTCAACAAATTTCTATCTGTTCATAATCAGGATTACACCAAAGTCTACTGAGAAGAAGGGAAGGTAGGGAAGGTGGGGGAGGGGGGGGAGTGGGATAAAGGAGTGAGGGTAGGAACAGGTAGAGAAGAACAGACGAGAGGGGGGCCGTCTAGGCGCGCTCCCCACGGATGCGGCGTGCCAGCTGGATGTCTTTGGGCATGATGGTGACCCTCTTGGCGTGGATGGCGCACAGGTTGGTGTCCTCGAACAGACCCACCAGGTACGCCTCACTGGCCTCCTGCAGGGGGAGGGGTCACACATGTTAGCAAAAGAAGTCTGCACTTTTAAAAATAGTATTTCATGCTTATTTTAGCTTTATCAATATATTTTCAATCAATCAATCAATGTTTATTCATATAGCACAATATCACACATTTTACATTTGTCTGAGGGGACTTTACAGTTTGTACAGAATATGAATACGACACCCTCTGTCCAAGACCCTCACATCGGACAAGGAAAAACTTCAAAAGATAACCCACAGTTAATGGGAAAAAAAAAGAAAAAACCTCAGAGAGCAACAGAGGAGGGATCCCTCTCCCAGGACGGACAGACGTGCAATAGATGTCGTGTGTAAATTAAAAATATATCACATTTACAACATAGATTTTGTGCACACACACACCTGCAGGGCTCCGATGGCGGCGCTCTGGAAACGCAGGTCAGTCTTGAAGTCCTGAGCGATCTCCCTCACCAGGCGCTGGAAGGGCAGCTTGCGGATCAGCAGCTCAGTGGACTTCTGGTACCTACGAATCTCTCTCAGAGCCACGGTACCGGGCCTGAAACACACAACACAGCTCAGGTTAATTCAACCTCCTACATGCTACATGGGTTCCATCTACTGAAAAAATAATGCCTCTATGTGACACTTAGTTCTGTCACTGTGATCAGTATATTTAACCTGCTGGGGAACAGGAGCAAAACAAAAATAAGAATTTAAGATTTTCCAGTTAAAATGTATGTTATACATACATTTATAATAAACAAACAACCTCAGCATCCATCTTACAAAAATGATATCTATTTGGAGGGAAAGGTGTTACCTGTAACGATGGGGCTTCTTGACCCCACCGGTGGAGGGGGCGCTCTTGCGGGCAGCCTTGGTGGCCAGCTGCTTACGAGGAGCCTTTCCTCCAGTGGATTTACGAGCAGTCTGCTTGGTACGAGCCATTTCTTCTGAGTATCACCTGAGCACAATATCAAAAATATAAAGTCATGCCCTGCAATGATCATCCTTGAGTTCATACTGGCATTGTCGTGCTTAAGAGCACCGTTTTTGGAAAAAAATTCGTTTATTGTTTAACACAGTGTTTATTCATACATTTCTACTGAGTTCATTTGGGGTTTAAAGGTAGGGTAGGTAAGTTTGAGAAACCGGCTCGAGATCGCTAGAATTTGAAATAACACAACCGGAGAAAATCTGCCACTTCCTTATAGAGCCCCTCCTCCAACACACACGAACGCGCACATGACCAATGAGGGCACGAGATAAGTTTGTGCCCCGATGTAAGGCTGACAGGCAGGTAGGCCATCCAGTTATTTTAGCCGGGCCGGCTAAAATGATTGGTCGTACTTTTTACAGTACTACGGCTTCCACAGATGACTTTTTTTATGGATTTTTTGTCAAAGCACTTAAGATATTCATTGCTATCGGGATGTTAAGAGCATTCCATGGAATATAACAAAAAGTGTATCTCGAGCCGGTTTCTCAAACTTACCTACCCTACCTTTAAATAAGTGTTACCATAGGGTCTGTGAATTTTGTTTTCTTCTAAACCAAAAGTCTGAATCATCAAATCTATAACTTAATAATCACAAGCAAAACATTTAGCCTAATTGTGATAGCCCTAAAACAAAAAAAGGCAGTAATAGATAAGACAATTCAAATACATAACTAAATACTGAATAAATCATAATTCTGTGTTAAAAAGTGAGTGTCAGCCACGTTTTAAATGTAGAATTTAAAGAATGGTATTTCCTGTTTATTATTGGCACCGTATTTTTACCCAATTATCTTCATATGTATCACCTTATTTATTACGTTTGTTTGTAGTCCAAACTCGAGCCAAACACATGTAATTAACGCCCCCCGAAGCCTGGGAAAACTTTCCCCTGGTTTCGGTTTTGTGTTCAGCTTCTCTTCCCACATCCACGGTGTTCACAGACACACCGAGCCAATCCGGGCCCTGTGGCTCCCCATCGCACCAATCACAGTCATAATTCTGAAATGCACCAACCCGTGTTTTCGGTGTCACATTTCAGCACCAATGGTGTTCCTAATGCGGAGTTTAGGGGCGGGATTTGCAGGTTTAGCCCCGCCTCATTCCGCAAGATTATGGCCGCAGACCGAAATTAAGCTACCAGTATTCAGGCTATGACTGTGACGTAAACTTTGATATTTTTCCTTAAATGCATACAACATGTAAACAAAAGAATACCAACAAAACGTGGAGGACAAGTGTAGCTATCAAACAAGCGCCAAGGCGTGTGAAGCGGTGCTATATTAAAGCGGAACAGCGAGGTAGAAAGGGCACATATGAAAGTGGAGCAGCTCTCTCGGTAGGGGAAGTACTGAGCCGTGTTTCTCCTGCCTGGACCTCGAGCAGCTGCCTTTTCTTTCCAAAACAGCGTCGAAATAACACGCTATTTCAGAACAAAAACAACTTTATTCTACTAATTTGCTATGTTAAACTATACATAGTATTATATGATTTTTAAAGTATGACCGAAATGTGACTTACCAAGTGTGATTTTAGCGCTTTTTCTTCGCAACGATAGAAGTGAGTTGTGACTGTCTGGCAGCTTCAGATATTTACTATCTCTCACACAATGGAAGCGGAGCAAAATGGCGGCCGTGTCAATCATCTGTCTCCCACAATGCAACTGGCAGCATTTGTAAACACTGAAACTTTAGTTTTTGGTCCGATGACCTTTGTGCGGCAATATCCTAATAATACAAAAGTAACACATATTGTTATGTAACTGACTGAATCATAATCATTTATAGTGGCATACACATTACAGAACTACACAAGAAATCAGGCCAAAGATAAAGATATGCTCTGAAATAATTAGGAGCATGCCAAAATAATAGGATTATCAACACGCTAATAACATTTAACATTTCGTAGAACAGACAAAGGCAATACAATGATATATCTTTTTTTGAAATCATTTTTTAATAGTTTTTTGACATGTTTGTTTTTTAATGATTTCAGCAAGTGGGTCAGTGGATATAAAACAAATTCCAATTTGTTCTGACATTTATGATTGAATTTGAGTTTGATTTCCCCCATCCCCTGATTGGTCATGATAATGAAACAGGAAGGACAGTACATTTAGAAAATATAGCAACACGTAAAGCTTTATGGCATTACATTCTACATATAAAATAAGATAAAATAAAATGGACCTTTATTAATCCCCGTGGGGAAATTCAGTTGTACAAAGCAGCAACAGGGTAAGCGTGAAAAAACAGGACAGCAAAGATTCACACAGATTAATAAAATAAAAAATAAAATCAAGAAAAGAAAAGAAAAAATTAAAATAATAATTAAAATAATAATGATAATGATGTTCCATATTCCAGTTCATCTGGATAAGATTAAAGCAAACATGCTGTAATCTGTCATTCTGACAGGAAGGTTGTTCCAACACCGATGCTGAAAGATGCTGATTGATTAGCAACATTTATGTTGTTTTATGGATGTTTGGCCCTGGAGCACTAAATCATGTTTCATCTGCAGTGCCCCCTATGGGCGCCATATCAACAATCCTAATCCTAATCTAGTCGAACGGTTGCTCCATTTTAGAATAAAATAAATCCACAGTTCAATTTAAAATGTTCACCTTGTACAAGCATAACAAAAATATATATGTAGAAATGTGTAATAAAGATAAGGCAAAACAAATGATTTTGTATTGCACAGTTAAAACATTGCACAGGTTGAACAGCCTCTAGTGATTCTACAATTTAGGGTACATTCCATGTCCATTGATGTCCATTGATGATAATTATAATTATTCTAACTATTTTCTTCAAAAATATCATATTTTGCCTATTATTGGAAAGCATGTTATAATATCACACAAACATTATGTGCATCCTATGCTTTATTTAGCTTGAAATGTGTCATGATGTTCTTAAATTGTCAGTTTTTGCTATGTCCGTTTTTCAGTTGAGGGTGTCTTGGTAAATAAAAAAAAGTATTCATTTATTTCAAAAGTCTAAATACTAAAGAATAATAACATATTTTTAATTGATTTCCTCCTTTAAATAATTTAAATATCTTAATATATGAATGTCCGCAAAAGTTCTGTCAACTATGTTACTAACAGAACTCCCCCCTTTAACTCAAAAATGGTTTGTCCCAATACCATGTCACCAGCATCACATGATGCCATGTTCCTCTTTGGCAGACATTTTGAACACACTGTGGTGATTGTCCTCTAATTTTTTACAATATTTTATGTATAATAGCACATTGTCAATGAGTATATTAATTGACCATCAACAATGTTACGTACATTGTTATGGTTTACAATTGTTTAATGATTTTAATTCAATTATATGTTCAAATGTGATGTTAACCTGTTCAAGAAAATGACATGTGGTCATCCAGGCAAGGCCTACCATTGAAATGATGGGTCAAAATAGGGAAATTGTCAACTAGGTTACCTGTCAACTAAGTTACCCAGTACTGTAATAACTGTAGTAACTTAGTTGACAGGTAACCTAGTTGACAATTTGTATGACATGTAGACGTCATTACACATCATTATCAATGGAATTTTGCACTTCTGCCTTGAAATGAACATAGTGCTGATGGTTAATAATGTGTGCAGTCAACTATGTTATTTGCGTCAAATGTTTGACTTTCATTGTCAACTATGTTGCACCTCATTTTTTCAAATTTAAAATATCTAAAATAGTGCTTCTGATATCCTTTATAGTATAATGTATATCTACACAGGTTGGAGTTTTACATGACATCTCTTAAAACTATCAAAATGGCCTGTATGGTAGTTTTATAATACAAAATATCCCTAAACTTAATGACAGTGCTGAACATATCACATGAAAAAACAAAACTTTAATACAATTATTTTTTAAACTTTAAAAAATCTTTGGATATATGGTAGAATAGACTCAAGAGCCTTTCAAATGTGATTTTACTTGAAGTGCAGGACTTAATCAAATGATTGTAATGACATCAAGTTTGTCCGTAACATAGTTGACAAACTGAGTAGTGAAAACATCCTTTCCCTTAAAATAAAATAAAATAAAAAAATGTTTAAGCTTTGCAACTAGTGGATATGTTACACTGAGGAATATACTAACTTGAACCACTGATTGTTCTATTGAGAAACAACACTTTCTTTGTACTGTTTTGTTGATGTGAAATGCACCCTAAATTATAGAATCAGTCCTGGTATAGAGAGGCGAAGTCCCTCCCTTTCCGGTGGACCTCCATGGGACCTTATTTCGGAAAAAGTTTGTATTGAAGTCAATGGAGAGAGAAAGATTATCTTTCGATCCCGTTTGAATTGTGCCACGAATTACACATATGATGTTTGTCAATCTTAAATAATAATTTCCATGTAAAAAAAGTCACAGTTTGTCGTAAAACTGTTGAAATATAAGACTATGAAAAATACGCAACTAGAAAGACTACAAATCCCAGAATCCCGGTCCCGCATGCTGGCTCTTACGGAACCGACTAACTCCCCTTTTGTGTATGTACAGCTCTCAACATGCCCAGACTTGTAGTGATTTTCACCTCTTTTAATACTTTTCGCCTCATTCTGAAAGAAAGAAGTGAAATGTGCCAACGTGACAGCCGTCTTGGTGTGTGGTGCGAGACGGGAGATGTAGTTCATTGAGCGGTTTCACACAAAAAAAGTGTTACTTCACAGTTTTACGACACATTTCTATTTTTTTTACTTGTAAAATTATCTTTTAAATTGACAAACATCATATGTGTAATTCGTGGCACAATTCAAACGGGATCGAAAGATAATCTTTCTCTCTCCATTGACTTCACATATGATGTCTGTCAATTTAAAAGATAATTTTGCAAGTAAAAAAAAAAAAATGTGTCGGAAAACTGTGAAGTAACACATTTTTTTGTGTGAAACGCTTTATGAACTACATCTCTGGTCTCGCACAACAACACACGTCACCAAGATGGCCGTCACTACTGGGTGTTTCTCAATCGCGAGTAAAGCTGCTTCAGAGCCACTATTTCAAGCATACTACGTCATCGAGTGCCGCCGAAGTACTGTTCCAATGTCCAGCATACTTGGAAATCTACCGAGCCCGGCGTACTCCGTTTGGAGAAATATCGAGGCTGCACATGAGTAGACTCCGCGGTCTTAAAATCCCCACAATGCTTTGCGCACGGACCAATTTCCCCAAATCTGTGGCAGAAGATGTAAGGCGGGGCCTCTCATATGACGCACACCTGCACACTTGCTAGCGTGTTCCACTCTTCGTTTTCCGAATGCCAGGAAGTATTCTTGACTCGCTTCTGAAGCAAGATGCTCGGCAGACATGTGCTACCAAGCAAGCGTACTCGCGATTGAGAAACACCCACTGTCTTGCCAAAAAAAGGGATTGACTATCCTCACTATCACCACAATGAAACACGTCCAGAAGAATGTCATGCAAAGCTGCCTGCCTGCCTGCCTTCCTTTGATTCTCTCTGAACTGCCTGATCTTTTTAATGTTTAATGTCAACCATTTGTGCAGATAGCATGAAGTAGAGAAGATTGCCGATGCTAATGTAGCATTAGCATTTCTCCCCCGGGCTTAAATGGTGTATTATAGAATGATCACACCGGTGTGACAGTACTCTTCAAAGGGTTCACGAAATATGACTACTACTCTTACTGTTTGGGTTACTTAATGTTACTTCATGTTAAGGCTAATAAAAATGACAAGGCTAAGGCTGTAATGCTAACTAACGTGCTTGCTACTAGCTAGGTAGCTGATCCAGCCACTCCTGGTCCTTTCATCAGACGGGAAGCGAAAGAACGAGCAAGACCCATTGCTGGTATGATAACAACCTGGTACTAAGCACACAGGCATCTTGTTCAAGTTATCTTATCTTAGCTATCTCTTATTTAGTGGAGGAAAAACAATTGTGACATCAGTTATGACATGACTTACGCGACTCTGGGATTTGTAGTCTTTCTAGTTGCGTATTTTTCATAGTCTTATATTTCAACAGTTTTACGACAAACTGTGACTTTTTTGACATGGAAATGATTTTTTAAAATTGACAAACATCATATGTGTAATTCATGGCACAATTCAAACGGGATCGAAAGATACGTTTTCTCTCTCCATTGACTTCAATACATAATTTTTCCGAAATAAGGTCCCATGGACCGGAAGTAGATGGGCGTGACCTCGCCACTCTATTGAAGTCAATGGCGAGAGAAAAGTTATCTTTCGATCCCGTTTGAATTGTGCCACGAATTACACATATGAGGTTTTTCAATTTAAAAGATAATTTTGCAAGTTAAAAAAAAATGTTTTTGCCGTAAAACTGCCAATTAACACTTTTTTTGTGTGAAACCGCTCAATGAACTACATCTCTGGTCTCGCACAACAACACACGTCACCAAGATGGCCGTCACTACAGTCTTGCCAAAAAATCACTATCACCACAATGAAACACTTCCAGAAGAATGTCATGCAAAGCTGCCTGCCTGCCCGCCTTCCTTCGATTCTCCCTGAACTGCCTGATCTTTTTAATGTTCAATGTTAACCATTTGTGCAGATAGCATGAAGTAGAAAAAGATCGCCGATGCTAATGTAGCGTTAGCGTTAGTATGTCTCCCCCGGGGGCATC